GAAGCACCTGAAATAGTAACGTTCTGCTCTGTGATAATAAACTTCACATACTTATAAATTAAACCTTCAGTCAGGGTCCCCAAACAACTAGACCTCTATCACCCTCTATCTTCCCCTCTTGACCTCATTGTATCACAGAGATTTTGCTCCAGGGAAGTGCCCCACGTAGATGCGTCAGGAATCAATGGAATCAAAATTGCCAAAATTGCCACTGAGTCAGAGGTGTTTTTAAAGTTTTGATAAACAGTTTATAGCTGCATGCTCAATGGTTAACACCCTTGCCTGATGGTTTTGCAATCCTATACTTATATTGTAGCTCTATCACACTAAAATTACAGGTTCCTGTGAAACAACACTAACAATAATAATACATTATAGCGGTGCTCATGTAAGGACCTTTTAAACAAGTTTGAACATTTATGCACTGAATATTATCACACTAAGTCCTTCTTCCTCCCACAAAACATAAATGGAAAACTGGAAAACCATGATATCCCTAGTGTATCAGTTGGCTCTTAGGGATATTTTGACTGTCACAGTGAACATAAAATATTGATGGAGCAGTTAAAAAAAATAGATTCCACTTCTCTCTCTAGCAAAGAATTGATTAAAGCTATACTGCCTGCTCTGTTACAAGTATATAAGAATACTAGAGCATCAAGTGAGTAGTAATTTGAACTAGCAATAACAACTACTGCATAAACTTCAAAACCAAGGAGGAATTTTTAAACTAGCAAATTAACTAAAATAAACTTAATTTATATACATATTTTATATATTAATATATATATAATTATAATTTTAGCCATGTCATGCAAAGAAGGTGCTTTTAGAATTCTGAGAATCAAAGTAACCAAAATTAACACATACCCCAAATTTGAAATATCTGCACTGTATCATAACAAATCATGATCAACAAAAAGGTGGATGGACAGGAAGGACTATTAAGGGACTAGTGTGGGGATCCAACATGTGTCAGTGTCCAGGCAACACTGTCCAAGAGATAGAAGCCCCTGTCCCAAAAGTGGTCTCCTCTAATTCTTACAAGAAACAAAGCTAAGAGAGTGTACGGGAACCCTAGGCTGTCCTCACCAAATGGCATTTGCCCACTGACTAAATGGGCTCATGGTATTCAGGTACCCTCAGCACCTATACACCTCAATGTGAATGCTACATCTCATACTAGCCTTTTGTTTAATGCATTATTCCTTCTGATTTGGATAGTTTAAGCCTTGTCTGAGAGACAAACGTGAGATAGTGGCATGTGTATCGATCAAGACAGGACCTGACCCTTGTTTGAATGGCCAATTGGTCTTTCTTGGCAACATTTCTATGAATACCCCTAACAAACAGCAAAAATATTTATGACTTTGCCATAATTTTAGATTTCCTCATGCCTTACAAACATGTAAATAAAATATAAATATAAAATCATTGTGATGGGCTTCTTTACAATATGCCATAATTTATATAACCAAGTAAGAGTAGGCCTCTTCAAAACTGTCATCTTTATAAGTCTTTCATTAGATATTTATTGTAATTATGCCTCTGTTGCTCAAAGCACTTATGTTTCTCTTCATTAGGAAATGTCTCTAAAGTTTGCAATACATTCTTTGAATCTTTGAATACCTAAACGTAAGTAGTGCTTGGCTATTAACAAAGAAAATTATAATGAAAAATCTTCACACATTCAGGGTAAATTTGATTTTGAGATGCAAGTAATTTAGAAGAAAGTCCAAGTGATCAGTCTGGGTAATATGAGTTTTAATCTAAAGCAAGCTATGCCTATAAAATAAAGGCTAAAAAGTAATGAAGCTACTATATACTAACTATTATATGTTAATTGGAAAAAATCTGTTTTTAAAGGTAAATCCATAACAAGAATCCAAAAATACTTTGATCAAAGGCAGAATGTTTAGAATAAGTGTTTGGCTTTCCTCCATAGCTATTTTGATCCACCACACTCTTTCTGATATACAAACTCTATTGTGTATTTTAAAATCTCTCATTACTTGGTGTTTAATAACTACAAAAATGTCTTAAATCATCTTATTGTTAACCTGAGATTTGAGCTATTCTTTGCTGAATTTCAACTTAGATCCTAATTTTACTGTATTTAGTCTTTGTTCTTATGTAAAGACCTATCTGTGGAGTTCACTGGGGGCTTCTACATCCAGTCTTACAAGAGATTTCTGGCAATGTGCAATTGGATGTACAATTCCTCAAGTATAGATCTAGACTTGTGGTATGGATAGCATGATCAAAATTTAAGTTGCATCATCTGATACCATGGTTTGATACACAATCTAACAACTAAACAGACTATAGAAAATTAAGGGCATGACAGAAAAGACAGAGCAAACTGAATAACCACCTTAGAAGTTATGAGAAAATGTAAACTTAGAAAACTATTCAAAAATAAACAACACAATCTTCATTGGTAAACATTTGTAAATCAGCCCCACTAGTATAGGAGTCACAAATTCTATCCAAATATATCACCTGTACTTTGAAAAAATAATCTTCCTATTGTGTAAAAGCTTCCAGTTAATCTACTTGTTTTACATGGTTTTCATAAACTACTTGAATTTTTGTAGTGAAATTCACTTTCAGATTATTAGCATTAGGACACTTCAGATATCTTTCCGATTTTGTACTTGATGTGAAGCCATGCAAAATTAATAAAGTGCTTAAAATTTTCCTAAATTTTATTAGCTTTTCCATTAATGAAATCTGGACAAGAGATATTTAATATAATCTACAACCCGGACCATAACGCAGACCATAGCTTTACTTACTCTTCAATGACTCTGAAACTGAACGGATCAAATTCAGAAAGCTAAATTCTAAGGCATTCAACAACATATAAGCATATGACTTTTTTCCTATATATCTGGTAAGACCATGTTGGATAAGATTTTATCTAAATTAAATTCTCATCGAGGCCCAGTCATTAAGTATACAGACTGATAGTTACAAAATTATATTCAACAAAGATGAATTGAGTACCTTATATAAAGAAGATACACAGTATTGTAAAGAATGTAAAAATATGGTAATTAGTAATAGCAGCTAACGTTTAATGGGTTAAACACTACACATGCATTTTTCTCAACAGATTAACCCCTATGAAATAGGTTATATTAGTCTCCAAGGTTTACAAGTCAAGTCACACAAACAGAGATGTTAAGGAACTTATCTCGGCTCACAGTATTACTAAGTGGTAGAGCCAGAATTTGAATCACAACAATCTGAATCCAAAGCCTAACACCTTTAGCCACTAAAAGCAGTACTGTCTAAACCAATGCAGACAATAAAATTCTTATCCTTTCAGAATTACAACCCAGAAGGAAGTTTATAATCACTGGTACTTTAGGTGATTGTCAGTTCTTATAAATACCAGGAACTTAATTTTTTTAAATACATCTATTCTTAGAGCAATTTATTATGAAATAGTTCAGAAACAGGAATGAGTATGCTCTTAATCTTAGTAGCCATTATATTTTTTGACAAATCAACCTCAGAATACTTTTTAAACTGTCCTAAAATTTATAAGATGACTTGGTTTAAAAAATAGTTGATAGATCAACAATAATCTAATTTTACTCAACAGTGTGCTAATTTAAAGTTCCTTAGTACTTAGAAGTAGCCATGGGATTTCATTTGTCTGAAAACAGCATTTTTAGATTGATTGCCATTTAGGTTCCTCAACGTGCTCTACTAAACAGTCTACGCTTTATGCCAGTTAGGATTCTGATTTTGTAAATAATAATAAAACAGATCTATGGATAATTCCATTTTTATAGACGGTGTAATAAAGGGTGCTAAAGACATTAACACAAAAAGCAGGTCTCAAGTGCACTGTCCTTCTCTCCCATCCACAGGGAGGAGCTCTCCTTCAAGTGGCCTTTCCCTGGCACCTGAGTTTCAGGCTTACTGCACATGCAGAGATTAAAGCAGAAAGATGTGAAAGTTGAGTCCCTCCCCCACACACACATGAGCATATATTTATTATAAATCTGCCTTTTCTGATACCTAAGTATGTTGATTCACTGGATAATTATATGTCAAGTAATATCCCCTGAGAGAGCTGTACATACTCATTCATACAGGTAGAACAGGAACAAAGTAGTACAGTAGCCGAAGAACACTTTAGATATTAAATGCTACATCTAATTACTTTGCCTAAGACTCTTAACATATAGACACTTATTTTTTTAAATATCATTATATGAAGTTTGCAAGCTTTTACGGCTCATTACATTGCAAAGTAAGATAAGGGTATAGTTTGTTGTCAGTTGGATATAACTTCAGTATCTAGTACCATGGCTTCACATTTCCATAATTCTGGACCCACCCCACCCCCCTTTTTAAAATGTATACCTTGTAGATTGGCTTTTTTTTTTAGACATTTCAAAGGATTTTATTTCATTCTTGAAAGGAAGAATAATGGAATAAATACTTGTTAGATTTACTCAGTATCATAACAACAAAAACTTAATTTAAGCACATATTACCCTCTTCCCCTATGGTTCAAAATTCATTCAGCAAATGTTTTCTGAGCACCTGCTACATGTAGGCATGGCACTTGCAGTATGTATACTAAGAAGACATTTAAGTTTCCAGGGCACAAAGCGCGGCGGGGGTGGGAGGGTAACAAGGGACCAAAATTAAGTATTTACTATTAACAACTATAATTATAATAAATTTCTTAGAAAAATTTAATAATTGCACAGCAGCACATTTGGGCAACAGTATGACTTTCAGTTGCACACGAAGAGTTCACTGTTAAGCTAAGGTTCTCTTACCAATTAGCTTCAGTTTATTCTTTTCTTAATGTTTTCTATTTTATTCCACAAACCTACGTTCTCTTCCATAAAATGAATGATAGCGCATCTTTTAAAAACCCATTCCTCTTCCCCCAAAATCCAGCCCATACACACGCCCTGCTCTTTTCGTGGGCACGTGTCCTTCCAGAGCTCAGCGGGACACCCTCTCACCTGAAAAAAAGTTTGGAGATGACGCTGGCCTTTTCCAGAGGCGACCTCTGCATGGTCCCTGTGGGCGTCGGGGTCCCTGCCGGGGAAGGCCGGGCTGCAAGTCCTACAGCCACACTCCCTCGTCTTCTCGGTGCCTGCCGCTCGCCCCTTTTTCTCTGACCTGCTGTGATGTCATTTACTTCCAACTCCCCCCACCCACCTCTACCCCACACACACCTCCTCTTTCATTTAGCTCCTTCCCCCGCCTCCACAGCCCAGGTTAAAAGCTGGGCGCTGCCTGGTCCGGCCCCAAATTTGCTCTAGCGGCTCTCCCCACCCACTCTGCACCCCGAGAGCTCCTTCTCGCCTCCCTCCCTCGCGCGCGCTCCTGCCCGGTCCGCGGCCCTACCGTCCAGCCCGGCCCAGCCCGCGTGTCGGAGACAGTCGCGGCTGCTGTCCCGCTCCGGTCTGCGACGCGCGAGGACCGAAGGAGCCGCCGGCAGGAGCGGACCCAGGCCCCCGGGGAGCCTCCGGGACGCGGGGCGCGCCGCCGCCAACTTGCCCTAGCCTTCTTCCGAGATCCCAGCAGGGTTCGTATTACGTTTGCAAGGCTCATTTTGAAAGGGGAACGAAAATATGTCTCTTCTGTAAAACGCAGCCATGGAGAGCCAGAAAGTTCCGCGGCGCCGTCCTCTGGCTTCCCTCTAGCGCTCCCCTAGGGTGTCGGGGAGAAGGACCCAGCGTGGTTAGCGCAAGGCTTAGGTGCGCTCCGACTGCGGCGGAGACCCCACCGGGGACGTATTTGAGGGGGGGGTGGAGAATATCCCATAAGGCGGTAAAGAGAAGTTATCGCTTTGTCCATTGCCCGCCCAGAATTTGCTCATTGTCTGTCCTGAGGCTTCCAGTCCTGCTTCCGTTTTTAAGGAAGGCTTTGCGTGTGTTAGCAACTACCGTGGCAAGCGCACAGTGTGTAAACTCACCCGCCCGCCTATAGACTTACTAGTCTCGGTCAGCAAAACATCCTGACTAATGCACTCAGAGAAATACAAATAGTCTGTGCAGCGACTGCACCGACCTGACTCAGAAACGCCATCTTCAGAAATGCCTTCTTCCCTGAGGGCGTCTAAGCTGTCCCAGGTGTGGGCGCCTTAGCTTCCCCAAGTTTTTGGCGTGAGGATTGTGTGCCTGGCTGACGGTTTTTAAAGAGCCAAGCCTTTTAATTCCTAAATCCTATTGTGTAAAAGCAAGGGCAGGCACACTGAATGTAAACTGAAAAATTCAAATGGAAGTAAGAATGTTAGTCTGATCACTTTGGTGCCTCTATTTCTAAGGCAAGGGTGTTTACTTGTGAATCACCTTATTGTTGAGTTGTGGTCACCCAAATAAAATACAAATAAAATGTGTGTTTCATAATAGAAAGGCAGAACGTGTATTTAAATTAATGAGTGCGTTCAGCAGATTTTTATAGCTCCACTTTGCATTTCAAGGCCATGCTTTTTTTCTACTTAAAATGGGTTTTGTAAACATTTAAATTTCATATCCTAAATTTTAAGAGCAGAGAAAAAGACAGGAACGAGATCACTCAAATGCATAGCTACCAGGAAAGAACTTCAGCATTTCTAACTCATGAGCCTTGCATCAAATCTTGCACCGGTGTTTTCCTCTTTCCAAAATGACTTACAAATTGAGGCTCTGTCTTCATTATTGACTTTTCCCAGGTATCTGATTGAACTCACTCCATCTATTTTCTCACCCCCACTCTGTTGTTTGCTTTATAACTGCTAGTGTGACCCATCAAATACAATACACACATTTTGAAATGAATTAGAAATCAGTTCTTCTTTGTTACCAAAGAGCAAATAACAATAAAGGGATTAAGAATTACATTCCAAGCAAGATCATAGAACCTAACCAAGTGGTAGGGCTCCAAGAGACCCCAAATATTTGTCAACCAGTCTCATTCCTCTGGAAAGAATAGATTAAATACTGATTATTTCTTGAGTTTTTCCTTTTGCCAGGTATCATCTAATGTAGACTACACAACAACCAGGTAAATAGGTGTTTTCACCCCAATTTTCAGTTGAGGAAACACACAATAGAAATTAAGTAAATGACAGAGTAAGATTCTAACTCAGTTCTAATTCCAAACCATGTCTCTTAACCATTTGTAGTATTGTTTGTAATCAAATAATCCCTCATGTATTTATGAACTGTCACACACCAGTCTTTCTCCTCATATTCGTTTCATGAAATCCTAACTGCTAACCCTATTCAAAACTGACACAAGAAAGCAGAAATCTAAAAACCATGTTCCTACTGGAGTTATATGTTTTAATAAGTGACATTTCCTTAAAATATTCCATTTTAAGCACATGTACACACAGGTGCATAGGAAGACCATAGATTTTTATCATAGAAGATTACATCCCAAAGTTGTTCTTGGCTTAAGACTTCACCATTATTCAGAACATTAACACTGTTAGCAGATATAAACATTGAGACATGATACTCAAGATTTGCATCTAGGATTACACACCTAATGTGGGAATGCACCAGCAAGTGTTCAAATATGGCTGACGGTCATGCCTGGAATCCTAAATGTGCCTTTGAGATGTCAGAAACAGGAAAGAGATCACAGACCAGAATGAGAGTAGAAGGTTGTAGTAAAAAACAGTGAAGCTCTTCTCTCCAAGCTGCTCAAGTATCAGTTCATAAAATGCTATTATAATAGCTTGTATTTACTTAGTCCTTACCATATATGCCAGGTGCCACACCAAATGCACACATACATTTTTAAATCTTTATAACACTTTCATAACAGGTACCTTCTTCATTATCCATATATTACAAGTGAAGAAACTAAGGCACAAAAAGTTTGGCAATTTTCCCAGGCAAGTTGCACAGTAAATAACAACAGAGAAAACTGAAATTTTAACCTAGTCTGTTGCCTGAGCCCAAGCATTTAATTACTTCACATACTTACCCTACAGAATATCCTACCTAATGTTTTTAACAAAACTGACATTAAATATAGATTAGGTGGCCATTTGTATGGCACTTTTATTGTGGAAAAATATAACAAAATTTATCATCTTAAACCATTTAGGTGTATAGTTCAGTGATAATACATTCACACTGTCATGCAACTATCACCACCATCCATCCTCATAATGTTTTTCATCTGTAAAACTGAAACTCCATACCCATTACATAATAACTCCCTGTTTTTCCCTCCCCCCAGCCCTTGGCAACTACCATCACACTTTCCTATCTTTATGACTACTCTACGTACCTTGTATAAGTGAGATTATACAGTATTTGTCTTCTTGTGACTGGCTCATTTCACTTAGCATAATGTCTTCAAGATTCATCCATGTTGTAGCATATTGCAGAATATATTTCCTTTTTTAAGACGGAATAATATTCTATTGTATGTTTTTAACACATTTTGCTTATCCATTCATCCACTGATGGACACTTGGGTCTTGGCTATTGTGAATAATGCTGCTATGAACATGGGTGTACAAACTCTGTGGCATCATTTTAAAGGTATATTAAAAAGAAGCAAAAAGAAGAGAAGAAAAAAAGCCAACATCTACTTAGTACCTACTATGTGTTCAGCAGTGTGCCATGGGCTTCCTACAAATGATCACAATGTATGAAAAGCTTATGAGATAGATTACTCACTCTGCCAGGTGATGGCTGAAGTTTCATATTATATATCACCAGAGCAAAATTTCTCTATACTGTAAATACCCATCATGTTCAATTTGAGTGTGTTCCTCAGATTTTTTTTCCTGCTCTAGTAGTGATAAGTAGGCAGTGACCATGAGTGCACTAAAATCTGGAAAAGCAGAAGGAAGGAAGAAAAAGTTGTCCCCCAGGGAAGAGAAGGGCAAGGCCTTCTTTGCTCCATGCACAGAAGCTAGCTCTAAATTTACCTAAGCTAAAAGGGGAAAAGCAGCCTAGACTCCTCCAGTGTGCCAGAGTGATGACCAAAGATGCAAATGCTTCTTACAGTCTCATACAGATGTTTCAGACCCAGAGAGAGGTGTCCTGATATGTGACTAGACCAGATTATTATTTACTTTTACTGCTTCCAACATTATGTTTGGTCTAACAATTTTATTTATAAATACACATGAACACATACTTTTCTATTTATATACACACACAACCCTTCTTCCCCACAACCTCCTTGGAGACAGGAATTGTGTCTTCTGTTTTCCTTTTCCTCATCTCTTATTTAGCAATACAGTGTATGCAATCATACAACAATTTTCTCTTGGGATTACTGACCTAATAGTTGAAATGTCATTCTAAAGGGGAAATCTGAAGATGCTCAAGAGTTGAATCATTACCATTCATCTTTTAGGCAGCAAGAGCTCAGTGCTAAGGCAGGTATACAGAATAAGGCAGGATCTCTACTCTTCAAGCCTCAGAATCTACCAAAGGTCATCGAAACTCTAAGAAGATGATGGGAGAGCATAGCGGAAGGAGTTTGGACTTTGCGGCCAACAGAAGAGCTAGGTTTTCAATCCTGGCACCACTACTTACTAAGCTGCATGGTCACCTTTGTGTGTCTCAGGGTTGTTTTCTGAAAAACAAGGTTAATGATGCCCACTTCATGCATAGTACAGCAAATATAGACAACAATATTATATTATAATCATCAAACTTGCCAAGCAACTAGAGCTTAATTACTCCAACTAGTTATAAAAGGATAATTATGTAAGATGATAGAGGTACTAATTATCACTACAATGGCAACTATATTACAATGCATAAATCTTTCAAATTAACACGTTGTATACCTTAAGTTTGAACAATGTTAGGTGTCAAGTATATTTCAATAAAAAATAAGAATTAACCTCATAAGGTTGTTGAATGGATTAAGTCAGGTTCTTTTCTTTCTTCCTCAGCACTATTGACATATTGAACTGGTCAATTCTCTGAGGTGGGGGACTGTCCTGTACATTGTAGGACGTTTTGCTGCATCTCTAGCTTCTACCCACTGAATGCCAGTAGAATTACCCCCTCCAAACACACACCGAGTATGACAACCAAACCTCTCCAGAGAATGCCAAACACGTGCTCTTGGAGACAAGGAGGCAATTTACCTCCAGATGAGAATCACTGGATGAAATTAATTAAATGGATGCATATAACAGACATAAGGGCTTAGAA